CCCGGGCCATCGCGCGCTGCTGCCCGCCTCTGCCAAACCCCGGGCTGATGCTCCGGGGGGGTTTCTGAGCGCGGGGACGTCGGAGCGTCCCGGATTAGCCGCCAGCCGTTCGCTTCCCGAACGGCGCCTCTGCGAAGTGCTTCTCCGGGAGGGTTTTCCAAGCGCTGGGTAAACACGGCTGCCAGCTCGCAGCGCCTCGCTCAGCCCAGACAAACTACGCTGCGCGCGCCGTGAAACGATAAGGCCGCTTTCCCTCTATCCCGCGCAAACCGTCGCCCGATATCGGGCGTCCCCGGGGCGCACGGGAATCGGTGCATTTTCTCCCCCCTCCCCGCTTCTTTCCGCTGCTCCAAAACTGAAGCACTTCTGAGCTGAAAAGATGCGCCACTCACCTGAGAACCTCGTTGCAAACGCAAGAAAGAGGCAGGAGAAAATAAAAAGTTGGGCAAAAACGGCCCGTTAGTGGGGCAAGCTGCGGGGCTACCGGCAAGGCTGGGTTTTCTAAGAGCCGGGTGCAGCAGGCGGAGAAGGGAATCGGAGGCGACTCCAGCCGTGCCGGAGCGGCGTCCGCCTTTGCCAGCGCCGGGAACCGCGAGCTCTCAGCTCAGCCAGGCTCTGCCCACGGGGAAGGCGCGAACCGTCTCGTCGCATTAACGTTCACTTAATTTCTGCTGTTCCTCTGTCCCATGCATGAAATCCAATATTGTCGCCAGGACTAACCCATAAAATCGGGCAGCCCTGCGCGGGAATGACGTGGCCGCTCTTTATTTTGTAATTAAAGACGCAGCCGCCCCGTCTCCAGGTTCAGACCTCAACACCTGTGCATCACATCTGGCCGTAGGAGAGACCTCCGACCTCAACATCTGTGCATCACATCTGGCCGTGGGAGAGACCTCAGCCCTGGAGCGCGAAGCCCTGCGCGATCCCAACGTCTGTGCAACGCCCTCCCTTTTTTTTATTGCTCCGATTCAGCTACTAAACCCACAAATTCGTCATTGCAATAGGTCTGGCTTTCAAACCGGCTTTGCAATAGGTCTGGCTTTCCTCTCCCGCTGGCTCCGCTAAGCCCCCGAGCCGCTCGCGTCCGGCAAATCCCCGTAAGAGCACCTCGCCCTGCAAAGGGAGCGAGAAGTGCGTGACGTCGGATTTTATTTGCACCTTACAACGATCCAAACGGAAGGACGGGAGGAAAGGAAGGGATCGGAGCGGAACCAGCCCAGGGCAAGGAGCAAATAAAGAGGCAGAAAATGCACGTCCGGCTCCCAGGGACGCGGCGACCCTCTCGAGCGCCTCCTCCGGAGCGTCCTGCGCTGCTTCGGGGCCAATCTACTCCGCGCCTAGCGTTCCTGCTTGCTGCAACCGCACGGGAACAAAAGGAAAAGCGGATCTTTGTTCCTCTCCTCTCCCGAAAAACCTTGCTGCTAAGGGAAAGGCTCTGCAGGCAGCTTTTTTTGTTTGTTTGTTTCTTTTATGCTGCAGCAAACGCTCTCGAAAAGGCCTGGGAAGGTATCTCGAGGACGCAGGGAGGGACGCTTAATCCGCGCTCTTACAAAACGAACCCCCTTCGGCAGCGCGCTGGAGTTTCGGGAACCGAGAGAAGCGTTGTCTCGGCGTTTTGGGGGATTTGCTGCCTTCGGATCAAGAAAAACCCATCCGGAGCAGCAACGTCGCCGTCCGCGATTCGTCCGCCGCCCAACGGGTGCGAGCAGCTGTCGCCGGCCGGAGAAGCGCCGTTCTGCAGGACCGGGGCGCTTAAAAGCGCTGGGGCCGAGGAAAACAAACCGCCGGCAAATCCCGCGCTGCCCTTAAAACTTCCCTCTGCCTTAAGACCGGCCGGCCGATATCGCTCTTAACCGGCTGCCCCCCGCTCCCG